ATAGAATAGAATAGAATAGAATAGAATAGAATAGAATAGAATAGAATTCTTTATTGACCAAGTGTAATTGGACACACAAGGAAATTGTCTTGGTGCAAATGCTCTCAGGGTACATAAAAGAAAAGATACATTCGTCCAGAGTCAAGAAGCATAAGGTACGACACTTAAGAAAGAAAGAAAGAAAGAAAGAAAGAAAGAAAGAAAGAAAGAAAGAAAGAAAGAAAGAAGAGAAAGGCTCATATCCTTAATTTTTCTGGCTTATTTCTGAACAATTTTTCTTTCTTTGTCCAGAAATGTCCCCTTTTAAAATCAAGACAAGTCACTGGACATTATCCAAAACTGGGGGGACCAAGAACCCCAATGATGGCTGCAGAAAATCTGCTAAGTACCTCTGTGTCTACCTAACCTCCACTGATGAACCTGGCGGGAGAAGATAAGAGAAGGACACCTGCCTTGCTATCTCTGCCGATGACAGGAGAAAGAGCTGGCAAACTCACCCACACCCTTCAGACAAGGGGGCAGCAGGAGGACCCCAGATGTTGTGGGGGGGGGAGGACCAAGAGGAAGCATGAAAATTCAGCTTATAAAGATTCTCTTTTTCATTGCAGACAATGACGTGTGTGTAAGCAGGAGTGGTTGAAGGGGAGACGATGCCCCTAGACAATGTGTGCGTGTGTCCAAAATAGGAGGAGGTTTCCCAAGCTATATTCAGGAATATATATTTATATCTATAAGACAGTGAGATGGGTAGCATATAAATTGAATACACATTTAATAATAAGTAAATATATGCATGCGCATTCCTCCGCTTACGAACGCGAGTGAGCCCAAATTTTCTGTTGTCAGGTGAGTTTTGCCCTATTTTTAATGCGCTCATTAATTCATTCTTAATTTACTTTGCCCTGTTTTTAATTCACGGATTGCTAAAATTGGATAATCCTACCCTTTCCCCCATCCTCGAGTTAACATTCATGCTTCCCTTTTGGACTTCTGTCTTAATGAACTGGCTCCACTTTTAAACCTTTCACCTGCAAAAGATCCTTCGGTGAAGTTTGAACAAGTAAAAAAACGTTTCCCATTTTTGTGTCGCCCCTGAAAGAGGGGACAGGCGCGCTTATTATTAACTTCTCCGCCAGGAAAGACGGTTCACCTAAGCTACTGGAGGAAGAATGCAGATTGTCCTGTTCTCCCCTCCCCACCCTGATTCTGGGGGATTGTACACTTCAAAAAGAGGGAGAGAAGAGAGATAGCATCAAAGGAAAACACGACGGGGAGGGAAGAAGAGCAAGGACAGCTATAAATATTTGGACTCTTCTGATAATGGTTCTTGTGATGAAAATCACAGAGAAGCTGAGATACTATAAAAACAGGGGGTCTCCAACCTTGGCCACTTTAAGCCTGGAGGGCTTCAACTTCCAGAATTCCCCACCCAGCAAAACTTTTAAAGTTACCAAAGTTGGCTGAGGCATTCTGGGAATTGAAGTCCACAAGTCTTCAAGTGGCCATGGTTGGAGACCCCCGACATAGAGGGTCGGTGGGGCCGGGCTGCCTTCACGCCACAGCCTGTATTGAAAGAGACGGGAAATTCCCAGGAAAAGAGCCAATTTGGTGTCCCGGTCAAAGTATCGGACTAGAAACGGGGAGGCTGGGAGTTCTAGTTCTGCTTAAGGCACAAAGCCAGCAGGGGGACTATGAGGGCAAAGGACCAGCCACTTTCTCTCAACTCTAGGAAGGAGCCAATGGCAACAAACTTACGGCAAACCTTCCCAAGAAAACGGCAGGGATTTGTCTACGCTGGTTGGGGAATTCTGGGAGTTGAAGTCTGCAAATCTTAAAGCTTCGCTGGCTGAGGAATTCTGGGAGTTTCAGTCCACAAGTCGTAAAGTGGCCCAGGTTGGAGACCCCCCCTGCTCTACGTGACCCCTCCCCGGAGCTCCGGAGCTGTGCCCGGAGCGGGTGCCGCACCTACCGTGAGGGGCAACGTGCAGATGACGAAGATGACAGTCACAAGAGCGAGGAAGATCAGGTAATCCACCTCTTCCTCCCCTCGGCTGAACCAACTCTTCTTCCAGCGCTGTCCCGCGCCCAGGGACCCCCGCCGACGGTGTCTCTGTTTCTGGTACATCTGGCAGAGGCTGACGATGACCAGCCCGTTGCAGATGAAGATGGCCACGATGAGGAAGGCCATGACGGTGGCGTAGGACAACGAGAAGGCCACGTCCTTGTCGCCCAAGACCAAGTCCTTGTCCATCTGGACGAAGCACCAGGTGCCCGGGCAATACTGCTTGAACTTGCCCACCTCCAGGAAAGGCAGAGCGCAGAAGAGGCCACTGAAGAGGTAGGTGAGGGGCAGGCATAGCTTCACCCACCGCCGGATGTGGTGCTGCGAGTAGACGTAGGGGTAGCTGATGGCCAGGCACCGCTCCACCGCCATGGCGCAGAGCAGGAACATGGCCGCCAGGCTGAAGTACATCATGGAGAAGGCGAAGAGGTTACACAGCCAGTCCCGGCCGCCCACCATGCCCACCAGGGTGGAGTTGCAAGAGTAGGCCACGAAGACCACCGGAGAGACCACGCAGGTACCAGCCAGGTCGGTGACCACCAAGCCGGTCACCAAGATGCAGAAGGACGAGGTCTTGGCGCGCTGCTCCTTCCGGTGGAGGCCGAGGATGGCCAGGGCCGCCAAGTTGCCCACTAGGCCCGCTGCGAACATGAAGGAGCTGAGGGTGGGGTCACTGTTGGTCTGCAGGGTGGTGAGGTTGCTGCACCGGCGGGGCAGGCTGTCGGGAAAGCCGGGGCTCCGAGTCGGGCACATTGGCACGGAGAGGAGGGGGGGGGGGGCAGGGGAGAGAGAGAGAGAGAGAGACCAGCCGGCCAGGCTTCTGGGGTGGGCAGCTCCTGCGTCCAGCTTTGGGAAGGGAAAGAAAGCGGCCAAAGAAATAGGAGGGGGTTCACTTTCCTGCCCCAGGAACACCCGTCGTGGGAGAGCTCCTCACTGAGGACTAGCAGCTTGCGGCATCCCCCCCACCCCGGGGAAGGAGAAGGATGGCGCGCAGGGGAGGTGGGGGGCGGAATACCTGCACGTCTCCCCCGTCGGAAAGCAGAAGTCGGCTCTGGTTTCGGTTGCGGGGCGTTCCCGCTCTCCTCGGGCAGGGTGGGGGTCCGGGATGGGTGGGTGGGTGGGGGTCGCCTCCTCCTCCTCCGCCTCCGCTTCTCCTAGGCTGCTCCGGCTGGCGCAAGGCGGACGCGCGTGCATCTGAGCCGTCCGGGCGCTGCCCGCAGAAGCGACGGAGGGGCTGAGCTGCAGCAACGGGCGGGGACTGGGGCGAGGCCGGCCGCCCCCACCCCGGTGGGGCCAGGCCAAGGGGCGGGCGGGCTTCTGCCAGTCCTCCCCCCCTCCCCCGCCTCTCTCTCTCTGGCTCAGGATCCCTCTCAGCCTCCGGGACCCGCGTGGGGGCTCTTGCGCAACGCCCACTCAAGTCGGGGGCTGCGCTCTCTCCTTTCGCCAGGGTCTCCCACCCACCCCACCCACCGCCTCCGATCCAGAAGTGAGGACAGGATCGCTCGCACCGGCAGCCTTTCCCAAGGCTGGAGGGTCGCGGCGGCTGGGCAGGGGGAGGGGTGGGCTGCTTGGTTGCCGGAGCTGCGGACCCCGCTCCTCCCCGCGTCCGGAGTCGGGGTACGGGGGCGATCCAGAGGGATCTCTAAGAAGGGGGAGCAGGGGTCCCCAAGGCGGAGGAGTTGGAGGGCCACCCCCGCGTCCCAGCTGGCGGAGGGGGGGGGCACCGTCCCCACGGTTTCCGATACCCGGACGACCCCCTACCCTATTTAGAGCCTGCTAATTCTCTCCCCCCTCGGGGGTAAAGCTGGAGCCAGCCTCCTCCGGGACTCTCAGCCCCTCCAAGGATGAGAAGGACGCCCCCAGTTGGAGAAAAACCCAAATCGCCTTTGCCTGCCCCCCCTCCCCCCCCCGAGAAGCGGGGCTGAGTTGGGGGCGCCGCGCGGGGCTGGGCGGGGAGACCCGCGAAACGGCTCGGCCGGGCGACGGGCAGGCTCCCGGAGGAAGACTGGAAGGCTGTCAGGTGAGGAAGGTGTGTGGGGGGGTCTCCCGCTGCTGGACGGAGGGGTGGGCGTCGTTTGGAGAAAGTTGCGGGAGCTTCATCACTGGAGGCTTTCAAGAAGAGCTTGGGTTGGACTAGATGACCTCCAAGGCCCCTTCCAGCTCATCTGTTAATCTGTTAATAATGGATCTGTAAAAGCCCCCAACCCAACCAGAGAGATGAAACTGTGGACGGAAGCATGGAAGGAAGAATGGGCGGCCATCTGTCGGAAACGACCTGCTTGGGCGGGGGTGGAGGTGGGTTGGACTAGATAGCCTACAAGGCCCCTTCCAACTCATCTGTTCATCTGTTAATAAGAGAAGGAAGGAAGGAAGGAAGGAAGGAGCTGCACGTCTGCCCGTCCCAAAGAGGGCAAAGCGCAGCGCCAGGATGGCTCCGAGGGATCTTGCGCAACTCCACTCGGGATCTTTTGCAAAGCCGGGCAGAAGCTCTTGGCGCCCCCTGCTGGCCCACACCGGGAATGAAGAATCGGAGGCGAAAAGCGGAGGAAAACCGCCCGGAGCGGCTCCCTTCCCCAACCTGCCGCCCACTGCATGCATTGGCTTGGACCCACAATCCCCCTGCCCCCCCC